CCGTCAAGTTATGGTTATCGACTGTTACTGTTTATTGATTGACGCTGTTACAGCAGTTATTTTTTTTATGTTTTGCACTTTCTAGCATGTCGGTTTTTTTTTTTAGTTCTTTTACTAGCAATGTTATGTGTTGCTTTCAGTTTCTCTTTTTATGGACAGAGTTCAGATCTATTAGTATATTATCCGTTGTCGCGTAGAAGTCGCTTCATTCATTCATATAAATTATGTTCACTAGTTTTCGTGGTCCGTTGAGATGGGAAGTTAGTGTCCGAGTGGATCGAGGTCACGATAGCAGCGGCGTATCTAGCCGAAGGTCGTGGGTTCGAATCCCGCTCGTGACACTGACTTTTTTATCTCAACTAAAAACCTTAATTAATTGAAACATAATAAATTATATTCACACTACTGTAGAGAGCTCGATATACCTTGAGATAATTGGGGATAAAATCCCTTCATTCTTGCCAATAAAATACATTTAAACTGACCCAGAGAACTCAATATTCAATTCAAGTAATAAGAAACTTTCACGCTAATAAATTATTGTATGATTAGCTAGGTTTATTTAAAAATATCAAAAATAAAAAGTCAACTTTGAATATTTTGTGGTTGATTTATTAACTGATCTTAATATATTAGAAAACGACTGATCAAATATAGCAGATTAAGTAAGACAAGACATGTGGATAAATACTGTCTTATTTTTATTTTTGTTTAAAATAATTTCACTAGAAAGTAATTTTGAGCATTAAATAGCAATAAAAAGCAACTTTGAACTGTCGACCAATGGTAATGGAAAGAGTAACTTTTGGTACCGAGAAAATACAGCTTCATTTTTAATATGAACGCAAAATTGAATCAAATGAACAAAGTAAAAGTTTCGTGATCGAAAACACAGAAAAAGTATCAAAATAAAAGTCTTTTGAATACATGTTTCCATATTGCTTTCGTTCTTAGCGCATTCGCTACACTTTTCCTTAATATTACTATGTTCAGTATTTGTTCTTTTTAACAAAATCTTAACCGACGAAAAATTTATAAACGTATCTTTCACGGTCTTTCACCTAGATTATAATTGGAGATAAACCAAGGAAAAACTGGGCTTGCTGAAAAGACAAATTTGTTTAACCTTTGGAAGTCAAACTCTTTAACACAGCACTAGGATTTATCTTCCTATTATCTTTAAACAATTTAAAGATAAAAGATTTCCTCTTTAAAAAGCCTTTGTCGTTAGGTGCTTTTTAACACGACCAACAGGAAGGAAAATGAGCAGGGGCCGCCTGATGAGAATAGAGATTGAAGGCACAATGGGGAAGAGAGATAAAGGTCAGCATGTCATCTCTCTTCTTTCAATAGCATTCCACCTCCTAAAAATTCTGGATTGTGCTTCCTAACTGAAAGTTTTATTTGAGAAAGGTTTCTCAAATCGATTATTACAATAAAATAAATGTGTAGTACTTAGTGATATTTAATTATTGACTATTCAGGAATCGTGAGATGGTCTGGTGTGATATTGATTTAGAAAAACATTTTCTTTATCTTGCCAACCTTTCGATCTTTATTGAGTTCATCTTCAGAGCCTAGGAATTATAAATATTGTTTAAATTATACAAATACATGTAAGATGTAAATATGAATTTATACAATGATGTACGCGATATAGAAATTTTAGGCTTAATCAAAATATTGGTACTCACTCAAAGTGTTATGATTGTTTTATACATATGTTGTATTATATGTTTTGTGCGTTATATGTATGTTATTGATATGGAATATCAGCGTTGCTGCGGCTGAGTTTACATGTGTCTGTTCTGTAATTGCTGTTTATCTCTGTTTATGTGAACCATTTCTAAAAAGTTACGTTTATGTTTGTTTTGTTCTGTGTTTAATATTTTTGGATTGTCGAAATAGAAATTGTGTTGGTGTTCAAAATGGTATAAGATTGCAAAAAACCCAAACAAAATCCTACAGCCCTGGCCACCCACCTTTTTGAACACCAACTTAATTTCGATTTCAACAATCCAAAAATATTAAACACAGAGCAAAACAAACATAAACGTAACTTTTTAGAAATGGCTTACATCAACATGGATAAACACAGCATCAATTACAGAACAGACACATGTAAACTCAGCCGCACCTATGCTAATATCGTCAATCAAATTCGTCAAATACAATCAAATACAAAACATATAATACAACCTATAAAACATCATTACACTCCTCACATTAAGCAATTCTACGTAGTCTAAATCCTCAATAATTTAACTCTCCTTTCCCTAACAATCCCGCCTATAATAATCCTGAAAGGCTAACTAGGCCCGAACGACAAACTATTACCTTTTTTCCATTTTCGGTCCCTTTCACCTCAAAAGAGCCGACTCCTCGTAGAAAAACGAAATTTCTATCTCTATGTCCCTCCCCACTCCTTCAAAATCAAACATATATAAACAAAAAAACATTAATATCGCACTGACACTCCAACACGACACATAACCGTGACACATCTACTCAGAAAACACACACTTTAAGTGAGTACAAATAATCTGATTAAACCTAAAATTTCTATATTGTGAACATCATTGTAGAAATTCATTTTGACATGCATTTGTATAATTTAAACAATGTTTATAAATTCTAGGCCCTGAAGGTGATCTCAATAAAGATCGAAACGTTGGCACGAAAAAGAAAATGTTTTTCTAAACCTACGTCACACCGACCGCATTTCAAGATCTCTAAATGGTCAATAAAGTAAATTATAGTTATTCAGATATCGTGAGATGCGGTCGGGTGTGATGTAGGTTTCAGAAAAACATTTTCTTTATCGTGCCAACGTTTCGATCTTTTATTGAGATCATCTTCAGGGCCTGGGATTTACAAACAACATCTACATCACACCCGACCGCATCTCACGATATCTGAATAACTATCGATTAACGGTCACTAATCTCTACACAAAGTAAATTATTATTATTATTTTTTTTTTTTACGAAGGTTAGCAACAGCAGAGGTTATATAAACCCTCGGGGTGTCGGTGTTTTTGAAAAATAAAAAATAAAATAAAATAAACCGTTTGTAAGTATGTCGGGTTCGAATGTAGGGCTGCTGGATTCGAACCCGGGACCTTTACCTTACAGTGATGAGCGCCGGGTCAACAACTAAACCGATGCTGCTACCGATGCCCCCACGAGTTTTTATTAAAAAAATTTCAACCAAGTAAATACAACTAAAGAGTAGTTTTTTAATGAACATCTACTTTCAAACAATCAAAAAATCAAAGTTCCAATCCAGCGGCCCTGCATTCGAACCCGGAACCCTTACCTTACAGTGATGAGACCCGTGTCAACGTGTACACCGTTGCGGCCACCGACGCCCCGAACATTATATTCTTGACATTCGGCTTTGAATTTGGTAGTTGCATGAAATAAATATTTAGTACTGCTTGTCATAATAGCGTTTCTACTTAATCATATATTCAGTTGTTGAGAATTTGGAAAGTTAAGCACATTTTATAAGTTGAAATATTCAATATAGCATGAACCATAACTTATGATTTTTGTTAAATTTTTACAAAATATTTTTGAAAAGGTTTTATACCAGATCAACTATTAATTCTCCCTGGATATTCAACTGTTTATAATAAATGTATTACTATGGTTCAGAGGCTGCCCTGGGTTGGACAATAGAATGGAAACAATTCGGGGGGCGGTATTAGCTGGCTAGCAAGTGAAAGGGTCTTTGACTCCTAGTTATGTAATGAGGACTATCGGGAGCCACGACATAAATTAGATTTGAGGCCATTCCATGAACCTCGTTACTCAGACCGCAACCCTAACCGGGCAAATTACTCGTCCCGGATTTTCCGAGTAAGCTGGAATCAAGAAAAACGCCCACTTTCGGTTGTTGACGTTCGCCCTAGGTGTTGTTATTTGTTATGTATGTTTTCAATACTTCAAATCGCTTGGTTTGGTTTAAAAACTAAGGTATTCCAGTGAATTCCTTTTATATTTCTTCAAAATAATAAGTCCTTCGGAAGGTTGAAAGGTCAGAGAGCGTGGAATTAACGACCAGCGAATGACATTTAATAAATCAGAATGTTAACGTAAGTTTACATGTATTTCAAAATTTTATTTTCATGTAGAACATATTTATAAGTTCTGTTTTTACCAATGTAATTAATTTTATAATTAAAAGAATAATTTTGAAAATAAAAGACACGTTTCATTTTTAAATTAAATGTGCAGTAAGCTTTATGTTTTGAAAGGCTTGCCATGACAATTAAAACTATTTAGCAGTATAATTGTGTGTATATAACCTTTTTAAATTGCTAAGTAAGTACGTAATTTACCAACATTTTATTAATGCAGCATTTTAATCTACCAGCAACTCCGTACAACTTCGATGGAGTTCAAGATGTGAGAGACAACCAACGGGTCATAACTTTGAAAAGAGAAAAAGATAAGATAGAGAATGAAAGGGGATACATATAGATAAAGAGAAAGTGGGAGAAAGGGAGAGAGATAGAGAGAAAGAGAGAGAGAGTGAGAGGAAGAGGTAAGAGAGTCAGGGAAAATGGTAGGAAGACAGAAATGAATAAGTAGGAAAAAGGTTACGCGTATGGGGAATATTTTTCATTTATTTCGCGTATTTCATATACGGCTAAGCATTCTTGATGATTCCTAAACAACACGCCCTTAGTAACAAGGAAATGTGGACATGTAGAAGAGAAAAATAGCTGGCAGGTATAAATATCTCTTGGGTACATCATTAGTCTTACCACCTCGTTGTTTCCACCCAACAAAAATCAGTGGAATACAACAATTTATAATTGGGTTCGTATATCTACACTTTTTTAAATATTTTAATTTGGCATTTGATTTTTTCCTTTTTTTCAAACCAAAGCATCGAAGTCTTTTTAATCTTAGTTTATTTTAGCAATTGTAATTTTGATTTTAGTCGAAACATTTTGATTTTTTGATAATCAATTTTTATTTTTGTTCTAGGTCTCATCTCTTAAAAATGGATGTTGGAACTGTAAGTAAAGACGACAAATACAAAAATAATTTTTACTTATTTGTGATATTTACATACTCTGTCATACATAACTAGAAAAATCCGTGTGAATATTGGATTATTTTACGATGAGAATATACAGGTATATAGATTTGTTTACATAATTGGATCCAGCGCATTATTGGACTTTTTTATCTTGCCTGCATTACATAAAAAGCATTTTTTAAATTATACATAAAAATGCGCATAAATACATTAAACATGAATAATTACAACCGAAAACTCCCTAGAATAAATAGAAAAATAATATGACAATAAGAATATTAAGTATATACTGTACACAGCAAAACTTCTAACAGATAAAAACTTAGCATCTATTTTCACATTATTTATCACAAGATAAATCACATTAGTGGTCATACATATCCTTTTAAAACACGTTCCTTATTTTTCAAACGCAATGTGCTTTGGTCTTTTACGCTTTTATATACTTATGGTTATAGCTATCAATTATTTACGTACTTTTATATGTTCTTTACCAACTAAGCATTTGAGAAAACATAGGGCATAAGAACTTAACATAATATACATGTTCTTTTGCTTTCTTTCTCAAAATGTACCTAAATTTGTACCCAATAATTACATCAATTACAACCAAAATTTCTATGTGGTAAAATTTATTTTAATGATATTTTCTGTGTTATCTCTGTACGTTGAAACTTGTAAGCTGGCGTAAAATATTTAGCTTTTTGTGTAATTATACCCCCATCGCTTAAGAGAGTTAAATCGGTGCGAAGTGATATATATCAATAGAACATAGAATTTTTACGCCAAGGATCGGAACATGAAACTCAAATTTTTACGCCGACAATCGGAACAGGAAACTCAAAGACTGTAAAAACTGACAAGAATGCTCTTATTCCAAGTGAAATATTTTTATGCCGGGTGAAATTGCTGCTCCCTTTCTATATGGAGCCAAGCAATGCCGCTCTTCATTTAAGTGGCTACACCAGTTAACTTTTCTTCATATGCCAAAATGTTTTATTATAGGCAATAATAATTGATATTTATATGACAAATTTTAACTTGTAAACCCCAGAGTAAAATAAATAGTCATAGTACAAACGAATATCAAAATAAAGTGTATAATTTTAGAAAAATACCATTTCAAAAGGGTATAAATGATGAGTTAATTCAATTTAATCATACATAATTACAATAAACTATGTATAAATGGAAAGGTACACCTATTTTGTCGGGGTTCAATATTGAACAATGTAATTAATAATTTGGAAAAAGATATAAAATCCAAAACAATGCCCCGTTCCTCTTTTTCTCTCTGTCTGTCTCTCTCACTCTCTCTGTCTCTCTCCTCTCTCTCTTCTTTCTCTCTCTCTCTCTCTCTCTCTCTCTCTCAATCTCAATTTCGCTCCCTCTCACTTAATTTCTCCCCTCTCATTTAATTTCTCCCCTCTCACTTAATTTCTCTTCTCTCTCTCTCTCTCTCTCTCTCTCTCTCTCTCTCTCTCTCTCCTCTCTCAATCTCGCTCCCTCTCACTCTCTTTCTCTTTCTTCTCTCTCTCGCTCCATCTCAATCTTACTCTCGCTCCCTCTCACTCTTACTCCTCTCTCTCTCTCTCACTCAATCATTCACTCTTACTCCTCTCTCTCTCTCTCACTCAATCATTCACTCACTCGCTATTCACTCTCTCACTCATTACAAAAGAGATCGTTCACGACATAAATTGAAAAAATGTCTTATCACTGACTATTGCTTCTCTCTCTCTCAATCTCAATCTCACTCCCTCTCACTCTCTTACTCTCTCCTCTCTCTTTCTCTTCTCTCTCTCTCTCAGTCTNCTCTCTCTCTCTCTCTCTCTCTCTCTCTCTCTCTCTCTCTCTCTCTCTCTCTCTCTCTCTCTCTCTCTCTCTCTCTCTCTCTAGCTCTTTCTCTCTCACACTCTCTTTTGCTCTCTCTTTTAGAAACCATAATCAAAGTTCATGGCTATTCCGTCAGCTAGCTGATCATTTTAATAATCGATCAGTTTATTATGCAATTTATGTCAAATTCATTAGATTATACATGATGGGTTTACAATACCCAATCATTAAAGTCTATTTAATAAATCTTCTAGTCATTAGTTATTTAATTTGGTACAATTCGTTGACTTTATCGTTATCTATTCGAAAACATAGGTTTTCATTTGATTTACTTTACAAAATAATCCCCTAATATTGTCCGTATTGTGATCATTTTTTAATATTAAAAATTTCCGTTCGTGTCATTACCAGGTGCATATTCGTTAATTATACCCTGTTTAGCAGCTATAATCTTTTAATTCGCTCAAACTAATCACTTTTGTTTCTATGTTGGATTGATTGTTAAAGAACATGAATGACTTCCAATATTGCTACTTACTAAGTAGGAACTGCACGAATAGTGAAATTAGATAACTTTTTAGGCTTAAGAAAGTGAGAGTTTTATTGATGGCAAGCAGCCCGGTACTGTAATTACTTGCTTGGATGAGGGTAAAAGAGGATAAGTATTTGTAATTAAATTGCAAATAATTAACAAAAATTACTATTTAAATAAACTTGCCTAAACGCCTTGTGGAATTCCATTAACGGTCTGGCATTCTGCTTAAACCTCCATGGTGGGTGCAAATTTATTCCAAACGGAAATCTTCCATTGCAAATTTTATGAAGCGTGAACTCGTCGGGGCAGCTCGGCCTGGGCGATAATGATTTAACGGGAGCGAGAAAAAATTTTCCGTCTGGTGCGCTGCGGTTACAAACTGTTTTTTTTTCTCCCTTTCATTTTCTCAGTGAAACAATTGAAAGGCAATATACATTTTTCAATATTGGAAAGCATTAATAAACATGGTTTGTAAACAGAAATTCTGGGCCATTATTATTTATGACTTATTTTAACAATATTTTATTTCCATCCTTTAAAACTTCAACCCGAAATAATAAAAATGAATAAACAAAAGCTCAGAACAGTAATTAATTCATAAAAGTTTGCTGTTAACATAACATTTGGGGGAAAAGCAGATTTCAAATACAAATTTAAAAAATAAATGTTAATTAGTAAGGAAGTGGTTGCATCGTTGTAATAATTAGTTGGCAGAACCCAATTACTACTTGTCAATTACCATAACATTAGTTCTTAGGGGTATTCACGGAGTTTGCTAGATGATAACTCGCGTTAACTTCTAGCACGTTGAATAGAGAAATGTCCAGTAAGATCGTGAATGCTCCCTTTTTTTTCTTACCATGTCAAATGTTAATTTTTCCGCAATGCTGCGCGAGGTGTCTGGTAGAACCAAAAATAAAGCTACAGTCCTTGAATGCTTGTTGTTTTCAATCTATACACGAGAATTTGTGGACATCACTCGAAAGTTCAATGAGCCCTGGAGACTTGAATTTTGAGAAGACATGATTGCCTAAACTGTTATTATACTTAAATGCAAACTTAAAGTTGCAATGTAATGTTCTGTTCTTAAACATTTTGAACAACTTATTCGAAAAATTCTTAACATACGTAATGATTTTATATACATTTTACATAATAATATTATTATCAGTACTGATTAGTTTTCGCATTGAAAATGGGTATTTGTTAAATTGACAAATGTTGAATTGCTTGACCGTTTTGGTTGAAGTAATAAACCCAAATGAACAATGTGTACTCTTAACAACAGTTTTTATACTCGACGTACCATTCGCCTTCTCTCGGAAATTCCCCGACTTTTAAATATTTATGAGCACATATGTTTCCCCAGCAGCGTGGCCGTAAATGAAATTCATAATCCAATGAATCCTCCAGTACGCCGCCGTTCCGGGGTATCGCAAACAAATTCATGAGGCGGTTATTAATATGGGAAGTGGCAATCGAGGAAATGAATTACAAGGGCGCATTAAATATGTCGACATTCGTCGAACGTACGTTTTCGGTGGAAATTAATTCTGTTTGATTGAAATTGGCCGAATTCAAATTGTTGACAATCGACTTTTTCACTGTTAATTAAAACCGCCCGTCAATAAATCCCTTGACGACGTCCGCATTGTGCCCTGCGTTCATCTTCTTGAGATTAAAACAACTGATTTTTCATCAAAGTTTACCATTATCCAAACTGTCATCAAATTACACTTCTACCTTATGACATCATGAATCGAATTACAAAACTCAGAAAACACGGGAAACTTGGTGAAGACTCAATTGTAACTTAGTGCCCTATCGGACAAAACGTTAATACCATATCTATCTTTACTACAAGAATTTAAAAAAATTAAATCTTGAATCTATATTTAATAAAAAATAATAAAATTGTCGTATAAATAAAATATTTTTTTTAACGACAGTAATTATTACCACTTATTATTCATTATAATCACAATAACTAAATTGAAACATTTTTCAGAAAATACATTTTTCAATATGGTTTAGAGCCATTTCAACTTTAATATTTATTTGAAGTAAGTGGTAATGAAATAGAACGTGTGCAGGCACTGACTTTGCTTCAGTGAGGACGAGATACAAACGTTTTCTTAAACTGGTCTGGAATAAACATGCCCCGAAAATTTCCTGTAGCATCTAGTGAATGTTTTAATGCTATTTGTTGATCCAAAAGTGTCATTGAAACCAAGAAACCATTATTTTCCCACTGTGTAAAAAAAGAGTTATTGACTAACCAGATAATTATAGACCTATTTCGGTTAATAATGCATTTAGTAAAATCTATACGCGTCTTATTTAGAAAGATGACCAAAGTGGGAAAAATATATTAATATAATTCCACCATGGGTATAGGTTTAATTATAGCACAGTTGTTAATATTTTTACTTTGTTAAAAATCGTTAAATTTAAACTGGGCAAGAGAAGACGGAAGGAGTACCCCTTTTTTGTTGTCTTCTCAGCTGCCGTTGATACCGTTCATAGAGACAAACGTATATACAAACTAAATATTTAATTTAGAGTTGGCAAGAATATTTCTTATATAGGCGCTATAAAATGGCAC